AGAAATGGTCCCTGAGAACAGACCAGGCAAACACATTTTGAGAATTTGAGGCAGGTATTTCATCAGACAGATCTGGATGTCAGACCTTCTCAATGGCTGCTCGAGTTGAACAGACCAGATTCCTGAATTCCAGATACAATCATGGTTCAACTGGAGTTCATTCCTGATATCCTGCTTGATGACTCCAGGAGCCCAATACTAATGCTGAGAACTGAGCCAAAACTTTCTTTAGATGTGTGGATTGTGAAGGCTGTAGTTTTTGCCTTGGCTGTCATTTGGGATTTTAGGTTTATGGTGTTCCTTGTTGAATTTCTGCTTTATTGTATATACTCTTCAAAGATTTTTAAAAGAGATGTCACCATCATGTGTTGGCCAAGAGCTTCTGAAATCCTTCCAATAAACAGCAGGTGAATGATGATCAAGTCACAAGTCTAGACTATATGAAAGATATTAGTGGGTGAAAGCTGAAAGATCAGAAAAGCTGAACAGTCACCCACTAGTTTTTACCTCTATGAAAATCTCAGAATGAATGTGGTATCCTGTTTCTACAAGTCCTCAGATTGAATGGGCCTCTGCAAAACCTCAGGCTGAATGTTGTGAGTTCCTGTCTCCACCCGCTTTATATTCTTCTCTCCACCCAGCAATATCACTTTCTATCTCCTTCTCCCAAGTGCTGGGATTAAAGGTGTGTGACTCCCAAGTGCTGGGATTAAAGGTGTGAGCCACCACTATCTGCCTCTGATTTTCTTTTAGACTAGAGCAATTTTGTGTAGACCAGGGTATCCTTGAGATACCTCACAGAGATCCATCTTTCTCTGTCTTCTGAGTACTGGGACTGAATGTGTGTGCCACTGCTGCCTGACCTTTATGACTAACTGCTAGTTCCACACTTTGATCTTCAGGCAAGCACAAACAAAATATCACCACAATTCCTACTTTTTGTCTAAAATAAAACAGTTATAACTAATACAAGAAAAACTATATACAATAAGTAGAATAACTGTATAAAATATATACAGGCAATAAATACATCAGCAATGTCTAGTTTTTATATTTGAAAAAAATCAGAGAAAATACTCCATTATTGGTCATGTCTTGGTGAGTTCAAAGAATTGTACCTAATTAAATTTCTATACGAATTTGCATTACCAAACCTTTTTCTCAACGTCTCTCATCTTTACGCAAATCACACCTCTTGAGTGAGTTTCTTTTCTGAGTCTGGTGAACAAAGAAAACTATAACTATCTAGTCTTCAACTGCCTCAGAGACCTGAGAAAGAAATAATATTAAGTGAGTAATCAGGAAGGGCAAACAATCGACTTCCAAAATGTGAGAAATGACAGAAACAACTGGCTGCCTGGACAGTCATTCAAGGTTCTTTTGCAATATTGGGGCATTCATCTTCAATCTAAAGGCCTAGAATACTCAACAAACTTTTCTATGAAACAGAATATTTGAAGGACTGTTCCTCTTTATTTTGGCAAGGTTTGGCACTCACTCTCTTTTGTGTCCTGCTTGTTCAATATGGACAGCATACTGTCAACAGCTGAGGTAAGAACACTTTTTTGCCCAGTGGCTTACTTTTGCCGCAAAGAACATAAATTCCATTTCGAGTATCTGTAATGCCCATCTTCTACTCTGAAGTAGATTGGTACTGCCAGGAGTAGACATGTCTCACTGGCATGAAAAAAGAACCTATGATATTAAAACATCTTAAATGCCACATTGTAGCATGATTTATAAAAACCTAGAGACAAATATTGTGGTTCAACCTGAAAGTCAGAAAAGCAAAACAGCCAGGGACTGGCTCTTACCTCTACCTCAGTCTGAAATAGCAATCCTGTCTCCAGGAATCTCAGAATGAGACTGTGTCCAAGAGCTATCTCCTTTTATATTCATCTCTAGGCCTAGGATTAAAGGCAGGCACCATTACTGCTGAGTTTCTATGGCAAACTAGCCTGGCTACTGGGATTAAAGGTGTGTGTTACCACTGTCTGGTATGTAAGGCTGACCAATGGAGCTGTTTTATTCTCTGATCTTCAAGCAAGTTTGATTTATTAAAATACAAATGAAATGACACTACACCATGTTCTGTAGATCTCTGAAATGTCTGAAGATGACCTGTCTATCTAAAATTTTTCTCTATTTCTGCTGCTCTCTAAGACAGAAAGAGATCTGGCTGGGCAGAGAAAGGACTATAAAGTGGCAGGAGACAGGACTTCAAGGCATTCAGTCTGAGGACTTGGATTGAGGATTTCATAGGGGTAAAACTGACTCCTTTGTTTCTCTGTTCTTTCTGCATTTACCCTGATATCTGACTCTGGGTTTTTATTATTAAGACCAATTAGAAAGAACAACTGTTGAGTGAGAGAGGGCCTGCTTTTTGTCCTGACCTTCTGGCTAGTTTAACCCCCAAAATAATCACACAGAAACTGTATTCATTTAAACACTGCCTGGCCCATTAGTTCTAGCCTCTTGTTGGCTAACTCTCACATCTTGATTTAACCCATTTTTAACAATCTGTATATCACCATGAAGTCATGGCTTACCAGGAAAGATTCAGCATGTCTGACCTGGCAGCTTCGTGGTAGCTTTCTTTCTGCCCTTCTTCCCAGCATTCAGTTCTGTCTACTCTGCCTACCTAAGTGCTGCCCTATCAAAAGGCCAAGGCAGTTTCCTTATTCAACCAATGAAAGCAACACACCGACAGAAGAACCTCCTACACAAAGCAACAGTTTTTCTTTGTTGTTTTGTTTTGTTCTCCTCTCCTCCCTATAGTAGCAAATTGCTAGCTTGTCCCTTCTCATGTATATCTGTTGCTTTTTAAAAAGGTTATCATTTCAGTTTGTTTTTCACACTGGGAATGTGAACGCTCAACATTTTTAAGATATAAATGATATCATGAACTCATCCTTCTCCCCAGAGTACTTCATTGTCTGTCAAGCAAACTTTGTAAGTGAAAACACCTTACAAAGGACTTCTGAAGGCAAATTGTGTGCTGTTGTGTTACAATCAGAGCTTTCTATTCTTCTTTGGTTGTCTCTCTTGGTAGACCTGCCGAAGTCCCATTCTAACTTAGCTCTTTCACTTTTCCTTCCCTTTCCTTCTCCACTGTTTCTCCCTCCAGCATCTTATAAAGCTTCTCCCTTCCCGGCATTTCCATCTCCATTCAAGTTATATCTATCTGAAGTGGCTGCCTTGTGTCTGAAAACTTTATTTTAGAAACATTTTCTTTCTCCTGGAAGTTAATTGTAAGTTGCTTAAGTGCAAATTATCTTCTTGATAATTGTTTCTCTTTATTATACAACAGATACATCACATGATAGATCATCTGTGAATGTTCATTTATTTAGAAGGAATTGACAATAAAAGCCATGTTTATGAGACATTTATATATTTTCTTTTAGCTCAACCCTACTGTTAATGATGTGTGGATTTCCTCATCTGTGTTCTACTTAAATGTGTTGTCTATTCTGAGGATTTGGTTCCCCCTAGCTATCAGTGCTATTATATTATGGAGCCTAGAAACTGCTCTTCTATAAACTATAAAAATAACACTGTGAAACTTAATTGCAGTCATACATATTACTGCATATAGAACTATAAAATTTGGAATAGAGAATTTATTTTCAAGTAAGTCACTCTGGGCATGTGGGGACGGTGGTGGCATTCCTGGTTTCTATCTGCCACATTTCAGTGACACCTTCTCATAAGTTGTGAAAAATAGACAAACGATTGCAGACCTTGACAAATATCACTGTTAAGTTGGGAGCATAGCCCCCAGCCCCTGGCATCTATCCCAGTCCCCTGACCTGAAAGTTGCATTTATCTGGACTCCAAATCCCAGCATGCCAAGTCCTGACCCCCCCATACCCTGGGTAGCACTCCCACAGTGTATTTAAGTGGGTTCCCAGAGGAGAAACATGTGGTTTTCAGGTCTGTGTGGGCTCCCTGTTGTCCTGTCTCCCCACCATGCACTCGGCCACCTGAGAATGTCTTACTTAATAAAATGATGGGCTTTTTGATTTGGTTTGATTTAACCTAATTGGATTTCTTCCACTGGCGGAGTCTCCTTTCTTATTATTTTTACTTAACAATCACTACAGTAGAAAACCTTCCCCTGTTCTATACATATAAGAGAAGTTATTGTTCAGGTTTCCAAATTATTCATTTTTGCAAGATGCTTTGGTCCTAGAAATAGTAATTACATCCTTCGCTTTGGTTTTCTCATTAACATCTTTTCCCATGAACTCATGCCAAATCTTCATATAAATAACTCTAATCATTCATGATTTTGTCTCACATATTTTACATTCAAGGCTGAGTGGCAAGGGTGTTGTGTTAACGTTTTCCATGGAGGCGTGAACAGATGTCTTCTCCCTCAAGAGAGGGTACCATTAACATATCAAAGTAACAACTTCACTGAAGTCCAAGTTGAGGATCTGAGAGTTGGTGAAAGATTACAAATAGGAGCTTGAACATCTCTTAAGCAACTGCAGCATGGCAAAGCCCAGCTCATCCTTGTTGATTGACAACTCACACATGGTACATCCCTACAGCTCTCAGCACAGCTTGCAGGCAACTCAAAAGGCGAGGAGGTCTCTCCACCAAGGCTTTGGTAACTGATCCTATACTCTTGAGGAGGGGCCTTGCTGTTGTACATTTCAGCTTTCTTTAATCAGTGAGATTTGTTTACTTGATGAGGCTTACGAGTTCCCCTTTTCCCTCTAGAGGGGAATGTGACAGTTTTGGGGAAATTGCTACAGAGCCAAAGGAAAGGTTGTCTGTTCGTTCATCACATCCAGAACTCTCAAAAATAAGTGAAGATGTGAAATCCCATGGACTTTGTTGAAGTAGCTATAAAAAATAACAATGACACTTTAAAGTTCATAGATACTATTGCTGAAATGCAACTTAGAGCTAATTAAGGTAATTTCCAAAAGGATTTGTTGTTCCATTTTTCTATGCAGTAACAACTATTTGGTTTGCTCCTGTTTCAGGAACTAGTGGACATCCTGGTTACTCAGGACCTCAGGCTGGCTGTCCAGTCCCACCAGCCATCTATGCTGATGAAGACCCAGCCTTCTTTATTACCCAAAGTCAGCCAGAATCTCACCAGCCAGGTGGACCTGCTGTGACCCCATGGATTTCAGCTCCACCTATTCTGAAGTGCCACCTGGATTGGAATATTTAATTCATGTAAGTTAAAAAAGATAAAGGTTCATAAATAAGACCATGCTTCTAGTTTACTTATGGGTAGGCAATCACTGTGGTTCATAAAAGTTATAGTTAGTAAACAGATTTTTTTGATAAAGGGTGTTACTCAATGCTATAGTCTGGCTTAGGACCCACTGTTTTGAATTCCTCCTAATTCATCTACCTCAGTGTTCCAGGGGTAGAGATTATGATATAACCCATAAAACATGAGCATCTATTCTAAAATGAGTCACTGATTTTTATGGATTTATTTTCTTTTTGAAGTAAAATGTGAATGTCTTAGGAAGTTGCACTTTCTATTACCTTGGAAGTGATTTATGATAATAGTCAAATGCTAGTAAATATTTAGCACATTTTTAGTTTTTTTAAATAATATACTATACAATATATTCCCCATTAACTGATATTTAAAAATTTCATACATGTCTACAATAAAATTCTGGTCCCATTAATCCACCTACCTTTTTTTGTCTCACTCTTACACTGACAACTATTTCCAAGCCAAATCCTCATCCAACTTTTCTGTCCTATTTATTTATTTATTTATTTATTTATTTATTTAGTGTGTGTGTGTGTGTGTGTGTGTGTATGTATGTTTGACTGTTTGTTTGAAAACCACTGAGTTTCAACAGACCTACCCCTGGGCTTGAGAATTGCACTATCCACAGGTACAAGCGTAAGGTACTAGTGGGAAAATTACTAAAGACAATGATTTCCTCTCTCCCAGCAATCTGAGAGCCTGAGACCAAAAGTAGTTCTCAGAGGACTGTTGAGAACCATGAACCGCTTTATTATCTGTGACTAAATGTTTACCAGATCAGTACTGTGTAGACCCTATCCGGGAAAACACAGCTGCTGTGAGTTCATAGGTCTCTTCTCATTGTGTGGCTCCTCCTCTCTCCCCCATCTTCTGTGATGCTCTCTGAGACTTGGAGTTGGTGAAATGGGGACATGGCTATTTCGTATCATCAGTCATTTGTTCTCAGCACCTTAACCAGCAGTGGGTTTCTGCATTAATTCACCATTCATGGCAGAGAGAAGTATCTTTGATCAAGACTGAAGGCAGCACTGGTCTGTTGATATAAATATAAATACTTTGAAGGAAGTTTGATGATATGTCCATTTTAGCAAAATGAAAGTAGTAGGTTGATTGCTGGTGCGTGTAACTTCCCCAACTAAAGGATTTTGAACCTGGTCCCTGGTTAAAATCATAAATTTGTTTTTGTCAGACTTCAGATCCTATAGGAAATCAGTAGTTTACCTCCATAATAGCAGTAGAAACGCCTTGCTTGACAAGATGGTGTTAGAGAATATAAAGTCTGAAGATTACAAACTGTATTAAATCTAGCAGCAAGAAGAAAGTTTTCAGCTCAGTTGAATTATGATTTCCTTGAGTTCTGGAATCAAAGTGTGCAGTAAGCAATGGTCATAACCTGTAGAGTTTGGGGAGCCTCTGGGACTTTCTTGGTCAATAATTCCTAGGAAGATGTTACACACTTGGCCCTTGGATTTTAGTTTTATAACCCATGGCTTCTGAGATAAGCATTATCACCCATGGCTTCTGGGATAAGCATTATCGACCATGCATGGTATATTCATTTTGACAGTTAAAAATTATGAAGCTACATGGATCTAATCTACATGGGAAGTAGAAAAAGACAAAATCTCCTGAGTAAAGAGCATGGGGACTATGGGAGAGGGTAGAAGGGGAAGGAATAGATAGGGAGGGGAGCAGAGAAAAATATACAGCTCAATAAAAATAATTAAAAAAGGAAAAAATTATGAAGCTTATAAATTAGTAAGTTTTGATGTGAATTCTTCATCTTTAGTTTTTGTTAACCCTCTCTCTGTACCTCCTGCTCTCCTCAACGCCTGGTCTTTGTTTAAAATTTGCCACTTTCAGTATTTCTTCAGCTTTCATATCGCATATTTGCTACTTTCCTCAGTTTCTATAAAACCTGTTCATCACTCATAGCTCTTCCATCCCCTCTTCTCCTTGCTTTGGGGTTTCTACAGACAGTATAATTTAAATAAACACACCCATAAAGATCCAAACCTATCCACATTTGAGAGAGAACATAATGGTGTTTGATTTTCCAGGTTAGAGATTACCTCACTCACTTTGATATTTTCCAGTTCCATCAATTCACTTTCAAATTTTATTGCTTCAAATTTCTTTGCAGATGGAAAATCCCATTGTGTGCATGGACTGCATTTTCCTTTTCCAGTCATCAGTTATGCACACCTAGGGTGATTCCATCTCTTAGCTATTTTGAAAAGCACAGCAGTGACCATATGCGTGCAGACATCTCTGCAATAAAATGTAGAGTCTTTTGAGTTTATGTCCAGAAGTGACATACATGGGACATATTGAAGTTTTGTTTTCAGTCTTTTGCAAAACTTCCAGATTGATTTTTATTGTGTCTGCATTCATTACAATCCTGCCAAGAGTGTGGACCAAGGATCATAAGATCTGGTGTTCTGAAAGTGCTAGAAAAGAAGTAATGAGTGCACTTCTACATGTAGGCATGGCTAGCGTTTTCTGCATAAGACTTCTAATGAGTACACGTCCACACATAGGCATGGTGAGGGTTTTCTAAATAGGACTCCCTCCAGTTGCACAGGACATAAGATCAGAAACCAACCAATGGTTTCTCATAAAACTAAATCTTCTTATCACAAACAAAGTGTTAATGAGTGCAGAGGCAGCACAGAGAACAGAAGAGAATCTTTGCTACCTATACATTTGACAGACGATTAGTGTATGGAGCATAGTAAGAACTCAAAAACCTAAACATCAAGAAAACAAAGCACCTAACCAAAAAAAGTGAAACTGTAGAATTGAACAGAGAGTTCTCAAAAGGAAGAAATACATGTGGCTAGTAAACATCACTAAAAGTGTTCTCTATCCTTAGCTGTAAAATATAGCTTAAAAACATTTTTGAGATTCTACCTCACCCAGAGCCATTATCAAGAAGATAATTGACAATAAAATCTGGCATGGCCATGGAGAAGGGTCATGCTTATACATATGCTATAAGGCTTAACTCTTTTTTCTTTACAGAACCTTTGTGATGCAGAAGTACTATAAATACAGCCATTTACGTAGGAGGAAACCTTATAGTTACCTCAGCCACTCAGCATTATAAGCCTATGAAAGCAGACCTGCCTTCCTAAATCTCATGCCTTGATTCTATATTCTGTACTCCGCAATCACAATACTGAATAAATGTCTTGGTGTGTTAAATAGCTTAGTAAATCATAGAGGTCAGATTCAGTAAGTGGATAAAAATGTTTTCATATTTCACAAAAGTCATCCAGGGAGGACTGACCTAATTTCCACACATTAATAATAATAAATTCTTTCAGTAGATACATTTTAATGAAAAAAAGTTGTTAAATATGGTTTTATCCAAAAATAAACAGTTGTGAGAATTTGATACTGATAATTGCTGGCAGCTGGTTATAAATACTAAAATATGTATCTGAAGTTGGTTAGCTAAAGTATCTGAAATTCTTCATTTTCTTTTCTCTGTGACAGATAGATCACATTCTGATTCACCAGCAGTTCGAGTTTGTGGAAGGTGTGTATTCTGTTCTAGTCTTCGTATTTCTAGAAAGACAATGAAAGTAAGGGCACACTGAAGACCACAAATACAACATTCTGGAGGACGCAGGATGGAGAACTCGGTTGCTTACAATGTCTTTCCTTGTACTCTTCAAACAAGCAGTTGTGTCTAGAAATTTTCATTTCGATAAATTAAGGACCTCTTGGTAAATATTATGATGGCAAACTGCCCTCATAATACAGATACTAATTTGAAAAGGAACACTGAAAACTTACCTTTGCTCTTATATCTAAAAATTGCCCCATGTTTTACCACCCTACTTGGTTTCTTAGCTGCTGTCTACTAAGTTGTAACCAGGGTGAAGCTTGCACAGCACCTTGGGCAATGGTTCAGGTCATACAGTGAATGATCTTTGGAATTAGGGTAGCGGTGCTCTGTAAAATCACTCTTAATGCCTTGCAGGACCATGACATCTATGTGTTATAGGGCTCCTCAGCACTTCCTAGCTCAGCACAGGGGTCCGTTGTCTTAGAGATGCTGTGCAGAGCATGGTCAAGTGCCTACAGAAGTCTCCACAGGTCCAGTGTCTCCAAGTGCAAGAAGGAACTAAAGAAGCTGCTAGAAAACTATGATAATTGCCGAGTGGATTGAGCCTGTGGGGAGATGTGTGAGCTACCGTGTCACCTATCTACCAGAACATGATAACAACTGACGTTTAGAATACACCTTCTAATTCATGGTCACCTGTTTACAAAGTCACTCTTTGTTGGAAAATTGGGCCATGTGTTGCATGGCACACTTCTGGACTTATTAAAATACATAGTTTCCCCTATTTCATTTAAATTGCCTTTATGTATATTATTACATATTAAAATATTTTGGGGCTAAAGTTTTTCTAAACGAAGTTTTTCTTTGAAAACAAACACTATCTTTTTTATAAAGTTTTATAATTTGAATATTTGTAAATATTCAATTCCACAGTATATATTTTGAGAATTTTAATCTTCAAAGTCAGATTTTATATACTATGTAGCCTTGCATTACTAAATTTAAGATATGCAAGTTTCAAATTATTTGCTCAGCAATTACACTCACTGTGTTATTAATCCACATTCACTAGCTCTTCAGTTTGTGATTAAAAAGAAAACCCACATCTTCAAATTTTACTTATTTTCTCAAATGGAGTCATTTTTAATATTACAAATAATATAAAAATATAACAAATTCTCTGTTCGCTTTCAGCATCCGAGTTTATAACCAGCATTTGTACTTTCATCTTACTGAAAAGTAAATAGATGCTATGGATAGAGTTCCATCATTTCTTTTTCTTTCACACTCTTAGGACTCAAATCTAGGGTCTTGTGCATAGTAAGCAAATGTACTACAACTGAACTGCATTGTCATCCTGCATAGATTCATTTTGTTGGATTTAATTTTCCAATGAGCTGGCAGAACACTAGAAGTTGGATAAAACAAGTATAGTTTACACAATTGAACTGCTATTTCAATAATAGATGTCCTCATGGTAAAAATAAAATAATTTTCAGTTTTTTAAATCTTCACAAAAATATTTGTGGCAGGTATTGTTACCATGCCAGTTTTTAAGAGACCGAATTCAAGGCATCTTCAAGTCTCATCAAGGACTCTAAAATGAGTCCATAGTGCTAGGGCTTCTGAAGGACATTTTTCTATGGTCAAATTTGACTATTAACAACTCTTTCTGTCTCTAAATAAGAGAAGTCCTCCATAGCTAGACTTTGGTCAGATGATACTTGAGAATCTGCATTTGGCACCTGTCTGTTTTTAGCACTGAAAAAAAAAAATCAGTAAGGCAGAGTTCATTTGGGATGCCTTTGGCTTTGTGGTCTCACGACATGGCACTGTGATAAGACAGTTGAAATCGGAGCTGAGTTGCCATGCACCTTTCTCACACTCACCCCATGTCCAGTACTTCCCTACCCTCCACAAGGGGACCCTGGCTCAGTGCAGGGTTGCTCTTCTCTTTTCACTTTCAATTGCTCTCATTTTATCGGTTTGCATGGAGAGTAAGTCTCCCCATTGCTTAATGATAATGCAAAAAAAGTACTGTTTATAAAAAAGTCTCAAACCAACTGATTTGCTTTATTGACTCATATGATTTTAAAAACATCAGCCGTTCTATAGTTTATCCATAATACATGGACACTATGCTTGAGAAGTGGACATTTATCCACACACCTATCACTACTGTGTGTGCCCTGTGCAGCAGTCTCCTTCATGAATTAAACCATAGCGGTATCAAAAATGACCGTTTTGTTTTCTGTTGTCTCCCAGAGCTATTCGATTTCTTCTTAGTTTCCTGGCCTCTCTTCCTTTCCTTCTGCCTTTCCTTCCTTCAGACTGAATTGTCTATATATACCTCCTTCCTTTTTTTTTCTCCTTGTGCTATCTGGATTATCATCTAGACCCAGAATATCTAGATATTATACGATCTTAGGATAGGTTGAGGATTTTAATGCACCATTGATGATGTTTTCATGATTTTTTTTTCTTTTAGCCATTTTAGGTTTTGAAACAGCTAACAAATACAAAATTCAGAACCAACTTGGGCGGAAGGTTTACTACGCAGTAGAGGAGTCTAATTTCTGCACACGCAATTGCTGTGGGAATTGCAGGAGTTTCTCCATGAGGATTCTTGATAACTCAGGTCGCGAAGTTATAAATTTGAATCGACCACTAAGATGTAGGTCTTGTTTCTGCCCCTGCTGCCTCCAGAAGGTCTGTGAACACTTACCAACACAGTTTACAACATAGTTTAGTGACAACTTTTACCACGTTATTGATAATTTTAAAAGTGACCGATGAACAATATTTGGTCTTCCTTCAACAGTAGGAAGGAAGTTGAATGACTAAGCCTACGCCCTTGGCTAATCTCCACTTAGTGGTTGAGTGACAGTGGTTGAGTGGCACTTTCTGATGTTCCAGGGAGGACATTTTGGTCACATCTCTTCTCAGAAATGATCATGACTGGCATGGATCAAACTAGTGGAGCTCCATGTCTGAGGATGTCTGGGAACAATTTTCCAGAAATAGAGTGCACTGACAGAGGAGCTGGGAGAAGGATAGATGTGTTCATCTTGTGATTTGTCTGATTTGAATACTCCACTGAGGGACAAACAGAAAAAATATCATCTCCTGTATTTTTCATTTCTTCTCTTGTAATAAACACAGCAAGTTATGTCCTCTGTAGTAAACATTCTCCAGATGAAGATATCTTTAGCTAAAGTTCTGCTGTCTGGTTCATAGTACTTGGTGGTCTAATCATTGCAAAGGTGTCCTTTAGAGCAGATACCAGGGCATACAGACTTTTTAGGGAAGGTAGTTTTTACCTGGATTTCACTAGCTCATGACCAGTTCTGCCTGCATATCCCAGCGATTCTGCCGATAATATCCTAAAAGTGTGACTCAGAGAACACAGGAAAAAGTTATTTGAGGTTTAAAACTGTACTTACTATACTCTGAGAGAATAAGTTTATGTATAAAGAAAGTGTTGTCCATGTTATTTAGATAAGGTATAATCTTACATGCATAGCAGTATGTGAGGAGAAAGGATCTGAGGAAAGTACTATATAACCAGTATAACATGGTCATGAAGCTCAATCATGGAATGTGATGTCCTCCTAGTAAACAAATAGCAGGGCCATAAATCTAGTGCTCAGCATCCTTTCCTTACACAATATCAAGACTCACAGTTGAAAACTGACCATCAATCAGAACTCTGTCCATATAGATAAGTTACTGTTAATAAACAAGTTTAAGAAAAAGAGTTTGTTAATAATTTTGACAGTTTTTTTTTATAAATGGAGATAGTAATGAAACATGCAAACTGTCAAGCGTTCAATTTGTCCCTTCTATGTATTAGCTGAGGAATCTGATGCAACCTAATTCACTTTTCTTTGGGGCAGTTACTTCCTCCATGAATTAAGAATAGAAATAACATTGATCTAAATAACAGGTGTTGCAGATTGGAGCACTATGTGTCATTCTTAGTAAATGATGGCACAAATAGACAATATGACCATAAACATATTTATCAATGTTTTTTTTCCTTTGTAGATAGAAGTCCAAGCTCCTCCTGGTGTGCCAATAGGTTATGTTGTTCAGACCTGGCACCCATGTCTTCCAACATTTACAATTCAAGATGAGAAAAAACAGGCTGTTCTAAAAATTGTTGGCCCATGTATCACGTGCAGCTTTGGAGGAAATATTGATTTTGAGGTAACAGATGTGATCATGTTTATTGAATTTCATTTCCTTATAAGTAGAACATATTTTGCAGTAAACTATGGTTGTATTAAATGGAGATTTTTCTACAAATATTTCAAAAGAGAAATAATGTGGTTAGAGAAATCTTTTCTGGTCCAATGACAGGTCCTTGCTGATGCTGTTAAATAAGAACAAGGTGCAGTCATCTGAAAAATATCCACAATTCCTGTATTGGCTACTTTTCAAATTGCTATGACCAATACCTGACAAGAAGCAATGTAGAGGAAAAAGGGGTTTTAAGGGCACAGTACCCTTCAGGCACTGCATGCACATGCTACATAGACCTACATGCAAGCAAAACACCTACATATATAAAATAAAAATGAGTGAATCTTTTTTTAGAAGAAAAAGTTTAGTGCAGGTATAGTGGTTACTGTCCAGTCATGCTTCTCTGGGATCTCCCCGATCAGTCAGTCCATTGGAAAACATGTTTTTACATTTATTTCCTGGAGGACTTTTTAAAACTAAGGGAATTTAACACTCTGATTCTCTTTGAAAGTCAGAAAACCTGAAAACAAATGAGGCCTACATTGTCACAGAACAGTCATAAATACTCTAAAGCAGATGAGGATTATCACTTCCTGATACACCTTTAGAACCCTCTCCCCATGCTGGCGAATGCCTGTCTCCATGTTTAGAACCCTCTCTTTGTGCCAGTGAATGCTGGTCTCTGTGTTCACTCTGTCACACTGCCTGCTGCACTTGGTAACTGCGGAGTTTTCATTCCTCACTTAGAATCCAGTTATGGGTACATGAAGCCTTGCCTACAATGACCAAAGCATGGTCAATCACAAACATGTGTAGTTCTAAGAAAAAAAAATATATATATACATATATATATGTATATATATATATCTTACAAAGACTTTATATACTAGTAGGAGTAAAATAGATCTATTTGAGAAAGTGTCTTGATATGTGCAAAGTTATTATTTTTGTTTTCAGGAACATTAACAGAATTTAAGCTGACATACAATCTACTTTTAGGAAATAAGAGAAAGCACTGGGGAAACGTTGTGAATTTTTCATATATAATGCAAAAAATTCCTATTTTATGCAACAACCCTTCCAATGTTTAGTTACATGAGAGCATGATTTGAATGGCGCATTGATGATATTCATCTCTGAAAGTAGTTTATTATTAGTTTTCTAGAACATTTTGAACTTCTCCTTTCGTTCACTGATTTTTGTTTTCAATTCAGATCATGTCTCTTGACGAAAAAAATGTGATTGGTAGGATTTCTAAGCATTGGTCTGGTTTTCTGAAGGAGTTACTGACAGATGTGGACAGTTTTGGGATCCAGTTCCCACTAGACCTTGATGTGAAGATGAAGGCTGTCTTGCTCGGAGCATGTTTCCTCATTGTAAGTTGACTCCTTGTGTTGGAAGGGGATAGTCACTTGTTGGTTTGTGACTGCTCAGCCCTGAAATAATCAACCAAAATTACTGCTTGGTCCATTAGCTCTAGGTTCTTATTGGCTAACTCTTACATCTTAATTTAACCCATTTTCATTAATCTGTGCATCACCACGAGGTTGTGGCCTACCAGCAAAGCTTCAGCACATCTGTCTCTGGTGGCAGCTCCTTGGTTTCTCCCTGACTCTGCCTCCTTTCTCCAGCATTCAGTTTAGTTTTCCATGCCTTGCTCTGTTCTTTTGACCTATCACAGGCCAAGACAGTTTCTTTATTCATTAACCAATAAAAGCAGCATGAAGACAGAAGGACCTCCCACACCATCCTTGTAATTACTATTTCAGATTGAATCTCAGAACCATATGGAGAAAATGCAGAAAACTGCACACTCAAAGATCTCTTTCTAGTTAGGGAGATAGGAAGTGGGTATGTTTATATTTCATTGTATATATGTGTGAGATTCTAAAAAAATAGGAAAAAGAAAACTAAACAGTGTAAGTAATACATTCTTACTTCCAAGGTTTTATAGAAGAGGTGATGTACACCCCCAGCTCTGAGATGATTTCAGGTCTTCCTTAAAATTTGGATCCAGGGACATATTTTCTATTTAAAGAATCCACACAGTTTCAAATCAAAGATTCAAAGCCCATCCATTGAGAGGTTCTGACTTTACAAAACAGAAAGTTAACTTGAGACTTCAAAGAATTAATACTTATATGGAATAGAAGTTGCTGAATCAAAGAGTTTTATCTTGACATATTATTTGATTAAATACCAAACAAAATAAAGTGTAATCATCAATAATATACTTTCAATAAAATCTCTAGATCTAGTTAACATGTTACAGGAAATATTTGGGATAAAGCAGTGGTCCTGAGATTTTTTTCAGTGCCCATACTAAGTTCCAAGCTCAAAATCAGAAGTTTGTAATCCAAGAAATTCTCTCATGTAATCAAAGTTAAAGGTTACATAAACAGATTATTTTATCAAATTAGTGAAATCTTTGTGTGGCATTCAGGGAAAAATGAACACTTTCTATATGATGCTAAAATAAACTATTGATTTCTTATGCAGCAATGGTATTGTGGCTGTAAATATGCTTCATGAAGTCCATATATATCTGAAGGAACATATCATGGGATGTTGGCTAATTTTATGTCAGCGTGACACAGATAGGAGTCAGTTTGGAAGAGGGAACCTCAACTGAGTAAATGCCCCCATTGGTTTTGCCTCTGGTCATCCATTTTCTTGATTGATGGTTAATGTGGGAGGAACCAGATTACTGGGAACAGTACTACCTCTAAGGTGTTAGTTCCAGATTCTATAAGAGGGCAAACTAAACCATTACAAACAAGCCAGTAAGCAGCATCCTTTCATGGCATCAGATCCTGCCTACAGGTCCCTAGTGTATTTGGGTTCCTGACTTGTCTTTCCTCAGTGAAGGACTATGTGAACTCTACGCTAAAATAAACCGTGTCGTTGTAGATCATGGCGTTTTATCACAGTAATAGAAACCCTAAGACATGAGGCATTTCATATTTGTTTTTAATTTTCTTATATAGTCTAAACTAGAATCTGTTATGGCAATCCTCTTGCATGAGTCTCCTAAGGTATGAGTTTCATCACAGGTGAGATTTTATTTAAAAAAAATTTGCTCTTCAATAATGAGAGTAAAGTCATAAAGATCTAAGAAATAAAATAATAGGTTAGCCAAGCATAGTCATGGTAGTAATTATAAAACCAGGCTGGGAATAACTAAATTTAGCATGCTATTCTCACAAATTTGAGATATGTGCAATAACTAATTCCTAATTAAAGCTTCAATATTGTAGCACTTCCATTTACTTCAACAGACAAATATTGTGTGTTATACAATCATTGGGTTAAATGATTTTCTAGTAAAAGTATATGTTGTGAGATAATCAAACTAACTGAAATATCAATCACCTCAAGGATTCTCTTTATTTTGCAATATGAATACTTAAAATCTACTCTTTAGCAATTTTGGAATATACAGGGCAGTGATACACCTCCAGTTCCAGTGCCTTGTGTGAATCACTAGAATTTATTCTTCATTAGTGAACATTTAGAGTCTTTGGTACAACCCTTATTTTCCCAGCTCAGCTTTCAACCTCAGGCTACAATTCTACTCCCTTTGTTTAGAATGAAGAGTTCAACATTTTTACACGTCACAGATGAAGAGTATGCTATATTTTATTTTCTTTTTTGACTCATTTCATGTCATATACCATCTTGCAGGATTATCCATTTTGTTGTTTTTTAAAAGGTTTCATTATTATGAACATAAAGTAGTAGTATACATACCCCATTTCCCTTGGTTATTCTTCTTTTCCCTTTGGTTTGGTTTATACTTTGATTATTATTGCTTGTCTGATTGTCTTGTTTGTCTTTACTTTGCTTGAGAAAAGTTCTCACCACACAGACCACTGTTTCATTAAACTCAAATCTACTGCCTCCCATTCCTGGGTTCTCTCAGTTTTCTTAATTTGAAAAGTAGCCTCACTTTTGTTGCTGAAAATTGACTTTATTACTTTTCTTCTTATCTAGGACTTCATGTTTTTTGAAAGCGGTAGAGGCCAGAGACCACATCTACAATTTTTTTACTGAATCAATGACTGTGTCCTTAGACAATGTGAAGCCGGAACGTTAAGACTAAAAGAAAAGATGGTTTTTTTTTTTTTGTTGAAGTCATGCATCTATCCTTGAATTAAACTAGGATGTGCACAACTCCACTGTCATATGATTGGCTTTTCAAGTTATCACAATTTATTTTCTAGCTCATTAGATTATAGACCGTTTCATATACTATAGGGACTACTCATTTTTTCCTTGGAAAAATCAGCATAAGAGTTAAAAACTTTCCTGATCCTGCTCTCATCCTGTCATCAAAAAACACTTGAAAGGAGTGTCCCCATACTTGATCCTTTATCTTCCAAGGTCTGTGATGATCCTTGAGCCTTAATTTACTTAACTGCTGGTAGGAAAATTTCCAATCGTAATAGTATCAAACTTTTAAGGTCTGTGTAAGGACTACGGAAATCTAATGCATGCCCTGGAACATGAGCGGTTTCTCAAATTAAAATCATAGTAGATAATGGGGAAAAGGCTTCATTGTGAAGACCAGGGATTTCAAAATACAGGAAAATGGCTCAGGCCAATGACGAGAACTTTGGGTATGGGATTTCTGTTCCATAGCTTCGAATTTGCATCAAATTCACTCTGAATACTGGGCAGACACTAACTCTCCTTTTAAGGGAAAGAGAGCTTCCTGTGCACTCTGATGTTCCTCCTTGACCCTTAACACCTAAAAATGTAAAGGCCTTGAAGTGGGGAGTGTAAAATCTGGAATAGGCTAAAAGTCAGTAGACAACACAGGGCTTGAATGGGAAAAGATAGAGATGGGGTTAGAAAGTTGATCCCTAAGAGACCAGCCACAGAGCTCTGACTGATTACCCCCTGCCATACAGTAAGAATCATCTGCAGCCTACTGTTCGTGTCAGTTCTGATCTGATATTTCTCCACCTCCCAAGTGTTTGCTCCATGGAATAAGAACACAATGTCTGGCATGAGAAACCAAAAGCTGTCTAGAGTGGGAGTGTATTTGCGGTGACTATGAGCAGCTGCCACTTTTTTCAATTAGAAGACTATGCTATCTATTTGCCAGGAGTTTCAGCCATATGTGAATTTCATTAAAAAAAAAAGTCTTAGTTGATACAGATTGCTAGCTTACAACAGAAAAACGACTCTTCCCAAAGGATTTGCGTGAACTGAACCCATTGGCTCATGGCAGACCTGAATTCTCAAGCAACTCCTGCCAATTCCTGTTTGCTTCCTCATTTCTCTCTCTGTGTGTGTGCATCCATATCTAATATATAATCTGACACATGTGCAAAGTTATTAAGATTCACCATGTAGTTTAAACATAAGACTTATCCAAGTATTATGTAACATACATCTATGTATGCTACACAAGTATCATCAGAGATGCTTTAAAAATGGTTCACTCAACAAATATTGGATTTATTAGCTCCCCCAAAGCTTTAAATTAACCCATATAGGATCTATGAATTGTAAATAATATTTCTGGGTAGAGAATCTTCTTGGTAATCTGCCTGTATTCTTGATTTCTATCCTACTCTCTCTGAAGAAGCTTTGGGGCTTTTTTGGGGTCCAGTGAGATAACACCACAAAGTTATCTGCTGCTGCCAAAGCTGATGACCTGAGTTCAATCCTCAGAACACACATGGTGGAAGAGAACTTTGAACATTATCTAAGTTTCGTATGTGCACTGTAAAATGAGAGTGCATGCACATAAATAAATAGATAATATATTTTTACAGGTTTTTAATTAGCACTGGGAATATTAGTAGTTAAAGTGCCTGCTTTCCAAAAATGAGTGCCTAAGTTCAAATCTCAACAACCACATAACTATTCTTGATCATGCCCGTTACTCTGGGGAAATAGAGATAGAGCAGCTGCAGATATCCCAATTCCCGGAGCTCAATGGTCAAATAGCCTGGATGAATTGATGAGCTTTAATTTCAAGTAGAGATTTGAACTAATTAGTTCTGTGTTGTGAATGAGTTTGTGATGTGGAATTTCCCTCTGTATGCTATGATTACCATCAATTAAAAAGAACTGCTCTGAGCCTATAGCAGAGCAGGGCAGAACAGAAGTAGGTGGGGAAAACTAAACTGAATGTTGGGAGGAAGAAGACAGAGTCAGAGAGAAGTCATGTAGCCCTACTGGAGACAAACGTCAGAAATGTAGCCAGTAATCTACAGCCACGTGGTGATACACAGATTACTAGAAGTGGGTTAAATTAAGATGTAAGAGTTAGCCAATAAGAAGCTAGAGCTAATGGGCCAAGCAGTGTTTTAAATAATGTAGTTTCTGTGTAATTATTCAGAGCTGAGCAGCCGGCAACTAACTAGTGGATTCCTTGCATCAAATTGGAGCCTACATGGATAACTAAATCCACTTAAAACCTGCAAGAGTTTGGGAAGGAATTCTACACACACACACACACACACACACACACACACACACACACACACACACAGAGTTTAACGCAGCTTCTTGCTCTGTTTGCTAGAAGAAAGCAGAGGCATGGCTCCTTTAAGAGAGGTCTTACTGATTCAATAATAGCAGAAATAAAGCCGCACCATTTTGAAATGCCAGCTTTCTGGACTGTGCTGCCTGTGCAAATTCTGACTCTTTCTGGAGACCCGGCTATGGAGCATTTAAATGGGGTTTGTAACCAGAGTGCTACAACCTGCTTAATGGCAACATAGATTGGCTGTGTGCCTAAAAATGGTGCAATGTACTTAGCTTTCAGAAGCACAAAACAGCTCCACCATGCTGGACTGGGCAGGACAAGCTGGCAGTGCTGTATATACCCTAGCAATGTCACAACTTAGATTTTTAAGAGCACTTAGCATTTTAAGAAGCACGTCTGGTCAGGAAATAATTATAGATATGCAATAAAGAAAAATCCAAATAAAAATGATCTTTAAATGGGTCACAGTGTTCGATAAATGTACATAGGCTTGGGAGAGAAAAAGAAAAAAAGAGTATAGAGAGTTATAAAAAAAAGTAAATGGCTCAAAAATTTAAGTCTTTAAAGAGACAGAGACAGTCATAGATTAAAGAAATAAAGAAGATCAGCCACGTAAAGATGGAATATACATAGAGAGTCTGGATCATGCAAATTATTGTGTTTTCTTTGAATTTTTTGACTGTGAAGGATGTAAGTAATTAACATACATATTTTAAAGGTAACTTGTCTTCAACATTTGGGTCTAAGGATATGTTGCTTTGGAAAAGAGGCTCCTTTGTTTCCACAGAGGATGAGAACCCATGGAATACTTCCAGACTAATGTGGTTTGATGCACCAAGATCCCCAGAAAGGTCGCTGTGAACACCGCCCCCCCCCCTTAAAAATACTTCACTCAACAAAGAGCAGGAAGCATTTTGAAGAGAACTATGCCCAGATTCTAAATGATTGCTTATAAATGTTTGTTTATATTTAAAGATGGATATGCTATAGAGATCTGCATTGGTATGGATTTTGGTTTATTGATACAAATTTAAGGTTAATTTTGTTTTATATATATATATATATATATATATATATATATATATAAATTTCTGCTCTTGATTAAGGTATTTTGATTGTGAAGCTCATTTAAAAATGTGATGTATAATTTAAGAAATATAGGTTAATAGATAATCATCTATAATAGTCAAGATTGTAGTCAGTTAAGTTTTCTAGATATATAGAGATATATTTCAATTAGCCAGGTATCCTTCAAATCTTCCAGAAACCTTCAAAATATGACATTTAAATGTTTTAAGAATTTAGGGCTTTTCATGACATTGAGACACATCTACTCCTGACAACACTAATTACTTCAAAAGGAAGATGGCCATTGAAGAGGCTACTTATAGAGTTGGTTAGCCATTTGAACAAGAAACTGCTCTTGCCTGAACTGCTTGATGGTATGTTGGGTGAATTAAACATGCAGGACCCATGAGAGATGATCCCTGAACTTGCCTAAATGTGAAACAATCCTTCAAGGTTTCTGCTTCAATAAAGAGTCTGCTAGACATTCTGCAGAACACAGAAAAAAGTGACTGACAAACTGCCAATGTAGGCAGACCTGTCTTTGAAATGTCCTGCTTTATAGAAAGGTCTACCAGATACTATGGCCTTGTAGGCTGAAGATGGATGCCCCAATGGTACAGAAGAATTTTGGGTGACTGTCCAGGCAGTGAGACGTCTCCTTCAATTCTCAAGTTTTGGAAGTTGCTTGCAATAAACTTATTGTTTACTTAGGTAATATTATATCCTTCTGGAGTATTTGATGGAGTTGAACAATTGATAGTTATAGTTTTTCTTAGTTATGATAAAAGATAAAATAGATATAAATATTGTAACTGCAATTCTTACTTGCTACCTGTTTTGTTATATGTAATTTTACCATGTTAAAATTAAAACCTTCCTTTTCATTTAAAGCAGAAGAGGAGAGGTGATGTAGAATTCCCCTGTGTATGCTGTGATTACCATTGATTAATAAAGAACTGCTTTGATCCTATAGCAGAGCAGGGCAGAACAGAAGCAGGCAGGGAAAACTAAACTAAATGTTGGGAGAAAGGAGACAGAGTCAAGAGAAGCAGTATAGCCCCACTGGAGACAGATGCAGGATCTTTAGCCTGTAAGCCACAGCCGTATAACAATACACAGATTACTATAAATGGGTTAAATTAAGATGTAAGAGTTAGCCAATAAGAAGCTAGAGCTAATGGGCCAAGCAGTGCTTTAATTGATGTAGTTTCTGTGTGATTGTTTCAGAGCTGAGCAGCTGGAAACTGACTAGCAGCCTCCTGGCAACAAGGTTTTTTTCCCCCAAAAGTTGTATAAGTTACATTGTAAAACAAAAGAGGAAAGATTTATTGGACCCCCTTTAGACTGTAGAATTGGTAGGTAGGTTCATATCCAGGGATATGATGTTCCAATTTTACCAAGAATGGTGTTCATGTAGTCAATTCTTGTCATTTTGCTTTTGAATTTTTGAAAATCTGGGTAAAGGAAAATTTAAAGTTATGCTGAACATTATAAACATTTCCCTGCCTTGTGGGATATGTAGATGAAGACACTAAAGCAATCACATCCTTAAGGGAAAACATTGATTTTCACCACTCTTGTTATTTATTGGTTTTTGTGTCCCAGAGTATTAGAAT